GCTCTGAAATCAGTACCTTCTGGGGCACTGAGGTCGAGACGAGCCCTTCTTCCCTTTCCCCTTCCCTTGTGATGCTTTTACATACTGATAGCGGCAGCTGTCTCCAAAGGTACATTGGCCAGTCTGGAATTTGATACAAACACCTTTGGGAACTCCGGGAAGCGCAGGATTATTCGACGGAGTTCGGCCACGTCCTGTAGCATTGCTTGACATTGCATCTCTCATTTGAACAAGCCTCTTTCGTTCCAAATGGTTCCTGGCAGCTTCAATCAAGAATTGATACGACTTCTTTTCGGTTCCCTCCTCAGCTCGATCATAGTCATTGAGGTCCTGGGAAAGAGAGCGATACTCTTGATCTGCCTATGGAATAGTGCCTCAAGGGTTTTGTCATTCTGTTCATTGCCCATCCCTGCGATCACAGAATCCCATCGAGTAAGGAAATTTCACAAGCATTCATTGAAAAGCTGAACAGACAACAAATCCTCAAAGTCGCAGATTGCGCCGTGCTTAATGTTCGTGCTGAAATGCTTATGACACATCAATAGAATCTGGCGCCCCCTGACGTATCGCTTCGCTTTGGCTTCCTGCTCCTGGAAAATAGCGATCTAGCGAGCGAGGTCACCCTCAAGGATGTTCGTCAATGCTGAGGCCAGTTTGGCATCAAGGTGCACAAATAAGCCTGAATCGCGAAGTGCCTCAACCGTTTGGTCAGGGATTGAAAAGCCTTCTCGGGTTTATTAGAAGTACCAACAACAACATCCCTATAACTTTGATCCTCCAATTACGGTATTGCTCGGGTTTCGGACAACGGGGAATATGAATTCGATCGCGTGACTTGCTTCAGGAATTTTCGCCGACAAGATTCATCCGACACAGAAGACAACGAAGACGATGATGAGGATGGAGACGGGGAAGGGTCACGGCGCCTGCGGCGGCTCCGATCCTTCTTACTCTCTTTCTTTTTCGGCTTCCTTTTCCTTCTCATCTTCATTGCGGTCACCATAATCTCCGGGCTCTCCGTTTCCAGGAGCTACATCTCCAGCGGTCCCGGCGGGAACGGATCCTATTTTGCCATAGGGGTCGCTTCCGACCTTTGACCACTCACTAAGGCTCGGAATAGAAAGGCCGGGTGGAGATGCAACTTGTTCTGGTTGATCAGGCGGGACAGGAACGTGTTAGCATGTCGTTGGGCATTCAACTGAATCTCTCACCTCATTGCCTCAGATCGGTTCTGAAGTCCGGCAATGATCTCGCTGTGTCGGGCTTTGGCAACCTGGGCAACGAGAGGACCAGTGTCCTCGTTAACGTACTGGTTGAACTGGGCGTTGTTCTGAGTTGCCTTGATCTGCTGGTAATTGTTCATTTCGTTATGCACATCCAGCGAAGTATCATGATGCATACTCGCACTGTTCTGGTTGTACTGGTTCAAGGACGGTGGCACAGCAGTTCCCCTTGCGAGATCGGCCCGAGGGTCGTACATGACGATGTCCCCATGCTGATGCCTATCTCGATCGACAGGTGATGGAGACCTGGCACCAGGACGATCAGGCCGTTCTCGGTCGCTTCTTAAACCTAGCGACGCGGGGCTGTGGCTGCTCATAGCTTGCCCCTTCCTGATGAGCTCTCTGGCCACTTCTGAGTTCGCGCGACTTGTCGGATCATATAGCGAGTGATCCACACTCGCCCGCTCATCAGGAGAGGGTATGATCTCGGTAGGGGAGTATCCAGGATCATCTGACATGCCGTACAAACCTGTACAAAGCGCCGCGTACGGCTGATAACCTATAGATTAGGCAAATCAACCTAGAAGGGTCACCTTTCGACCCGACACAGAATGTAAGCGCGCTTTTTGCTTGAGGCAAGCATGATGGTCGGAATGTACATCATGCAAGTGAGACATCCACGCACTTAGGGTTATTGGGTGCAAATCTAGTTGATGGAATGAAATTATTGAAGCTATAATATTTGATCGCTTCTTGGCTACTTAAATGGCCACCGGAAAATTGGCCCCCACGCAGTGTTGGCCGATCAATTGCTTCAGCGTCAGGATCGGAGTGGCTTTCTGATTCTGCCCGATTCACAATTTCCTGGTGATGTACCCAGCTTTGGTTGTGAAAGCGCAATCTGCCGAAGTGTGCAACTATCATCTTATCCCAAAATTCCATAACCTAGCCCATTTGGCCGGTTATGTCCGAGAAAGTAAACGAAATCTGCAATTCGACCATTGTTATTCTGACGAGGGGCTGATGGGATTTGTGTCCAAGCTCGCCTCTGCAACCCATGCTTCAACCATGGGTCGGAGGGTCCTCGAAAGATACAGGGTCCAGTTGGATGTGGTACAAAGTTTGCTCAAACGTCAGAGCCACTCGCCAAGCCCGGGGCTGAAAAGATCCACCAGCAGCAGCAGGCATCCCATCGATGCGGCGGGCCGTCAAGGTTTCCCTTTTTAGCAAAAGACATTTGCTTGATCAAGGGTTTTTCCTAGGACATCCGATTACGCTTTGAGCTTCTGTCGGAAATTCGAGGAAAACCACAGACGGAAGCGCCATGCACTGGTGTTCAAATCTGGCCCAGGACTGATGGGTTGAAGGCAAACGCAAGGCGCCTTTTGTTTTCTACTTGGCTCTAAAAGGAAATCCACTCCAAAGAAACGCGCAAAAGGTCTAGAAATCAATTTGGTTGATCATTTCTCAATCAATTAGCGATCCGGTTGCCTTTTGTAGGCTTGTTTAGCTGCAGGGATTTCCGGGAAAGAGCAGGAGTGCGGGACGCCGTGCTGATGGCTCACGCCACGCCAATTGTCTTCAGACCAAGACTTTTCGCTGACTGTCATCCACGACTCAATTGTTCCCTTTTGAGCCAGAACAATCGAAGACCATTCAAATGTTTAGCCGGATCCCACCGGCTCGCTTTGCAACTTGAGCAACAGGCGCCATCTCTTTTCGGCGCACCGGGCTCCAGCCTTAAAGGATTTGGCCCGCAAACTAGTACGAATTATGATTGGGGACCTGTGGGAGGTCTTGTTTAAATAATCTCTGTTTGTGTCCACGACCAACTTTTCCGGGCGGTCCCTCTTGAAATTCGTAGCTGCAGGGACACGTGCCCCCCCCCCCAACAGAAAAAAATAAGTGGATTGGCGCATTCCCGATTCTCGCTCGCGAACGCCGCGCCGGAGAATCAAGAATGCGCCCATCCAGCTGAAGTGGGTCACCCCCCCCCCCCACAGAAAAAAAAAGTGGATTGGCGCATTCCCGATCTCGCTCGCGAACGCCGCACCGGAGAATCAAGAATGCGCCCATCCAGCTGAAGGGGTCACCCCCCCCCCCCACAGAAAAAAAAAAAGTGGATTGGCGCATTCCCGATTCTCGCGCGCGAACGCCGCACCGGAGAATCATGAATGCGCCCATCCAGCTGAAGGGGTCACCCCCCCCCCCACAGAAAACAAAAGTGGATTGGCGCATTCCCGATTCTCGCTCGCGAACGCCGCACCGGAGAATCAACAATGCGCCCATACAGCTGAAGGGGTCACCCCCCCCCCCACAGAAAAAAAAAAAAGTGGATTGGCGCATTCCCGATTCTCGCGCGCGAACGCCGCACCGGAGAATCAAGAATGCGCCCATCCAGCTGAAAGGGTCCCCCCCCCACAGAAAAAAAACAAGTGGATTGGCGCATTCTCGATTCTCGCTCGCGAACGCCGCACCGGAGAATACAGAATGCGCCCATCCAACTGAGGGGGTCTCCCCCCCCCAAGAAAAAAAAAGAGTGGATTGGCGCATTCCCGATTCTCGCTCGCGAACGCCGCACCGGAGAATCAAGAATGCGCCCGGATTGGCGCATTCCCGATTCTCGCTCGCGAACGCCGCACCGGAGAATCAAGAATTCGCCCATCCAACTGAAGGGGTCGGCGGCACTGGGCGGCAGCCCTTAAATATATATATATATATATAACACATATATATGTATATATACACATATATTTATAGTGTGTGGTGTGTGTGGTGTGTGTGGTGTGGTGTGGTGTGGTGTGGTGTGGTGTGGTGTGGTGTGGTGTGGTGTGGTGTGGTGTGGTGTGGTGTGGTGTGGTGTGGTGTGGTGTGGTGTGGTGTGGTGTGGTGTGGTGTGGTGTGGTGTGGTGTGGTGTGGTGTGGTGTGGTGTGGTGTGGTGTGGTGTGGTGTGGTGTGGTGTGGTGTGGTGTGGTGTGGTGTGGTGTGGTGTGGTGTGGTGTGGTGTGGTGTGGTGTGGTGTGGTGTGGTGTGGTGTGGTGTGGTGTGGTGTGGTGTGGTGTGGTGTGGTGTGGTGTGGTGTGGTGTGGTGTGGTGTGGTGTGGTGTGGTGTGGTGTGGTGTGGTGTGGTGTGGTGTGGTGTGGTGTGGTGTGGTGTGGTGTGTGTGTGGTGTGTGTGGTGTGTGTGGTGTGTGTGGTGTGGTGTGGTGTGGTGTGGTGTGGTGTGGTGTGGTGTGGTGTGGTGTGGTGTGGTGTGGTGTGGTGTGGTGTGTGTGGTGTGGTGTGGTGTGGTGTGGTGTGGTGTGGTGTGGTGTGGTGTGGTGTGGTGTGGTGTGGTGTGGTGTGGTGTGGTGTGGTGTGGTGTGGTGTGGTGTGGTGTGTGGGTGTGGGTGTGGGTGTGGGTGTGTGTGTGTGTGTGTGTGTGTGTGTGTGTGTGTGTGTGTGTGTGTGTGCGTGTGTTTCAAAGGCACTTTTTGGGGTGGCTTCTGGGGTTTGCTCCCTCCACCTCCCGAACCGAACGAGCCATTGGGTCGCGAGACCTTTGGTTCAATGGCAAAGCAATCTGTTTCAAGGGGATGGTCACACAAGGGCTGTCCCAGATCCCTGGCTAAAAGTATTCACTTTTTGTGGGTTAAATGGAAATCCCCACTAAACACTAAAAGCTAAAAAGCCAAAAATCTAAGGAACCGGATGGCTGGGAGCCACCAAGGCACATGAACCGAGCCGTGGCTTTACTGGACGAAAAGGCTCCGCTCCGCACCCATAGGCCGAGTCGCCTCACGCAGCGCCTTCACCTGCCAGGGTGGAGTTGGCCATGTCATGGCACCTACCCCAAAATGGGATCCCATTGGTTTTGACCCACAGCCAGTTGAGTGGGGAAAAGGGCCAACCCCCTGTTTCAAGGTCGGGTCGACTTGTTTTGAGGGCACCCATTTGGGGTTGGCTAAAAGGGAACAACCCAAAGGGAAGCCAACCATTCCGGGGATTTCCCTATTGTAAGACAAAGCCACATGTTTCAAGGCCCTTTAGTGGATCCCAGCAATCACCATTGGTGGACAAACATGCTTAGTCAACCCAGATTTAGTACGTTTGGAACCAACCAAATAAACATGTGTTTTTGCGGGTGGAATCGAGCCAACAACAAGGTCTGGTTCTTGAAGTCCCTTTGGGGGCCGGGGCTATTTGAGCCCCCCCCGCTTTTTGGTGTCCCATTCATGGGCGTCCAGCTGAGCATGGATATGTGCTGTCATGTTTGGTACTTTGTCAAGGTTTGAAATTGGAAAGAGGTTCCAATGATTGGGTGACCCTAAATGGGTTCTGAAGTCGATTGATACGCGCGATGCTTGTCCCGTGCGAGCGATCGGACCCAGTTTCAACAAGCCACTTGAATTGAAGCAACCGCTCTACAAGCTCAACTTGAGGGACTTTTTTGTGGACCTCTCCGCGTTTTTGGGGTGTTCAAGCACCCTGATCGATTTGGCCAGGTCAATAAGGGGACAAATAGGAACCACTCATCTACGCTGAGCTCCCTTCAAAAGCCAATTGCTCACTTTGTGAGTGATTTGATTACCAAAAGGTCCAAGCTGGTTGCTGATGGTTCTGCAATGGTCCTCCCAAAGGGTACAAAGTGCAAAACACTAGGGACAATTGGGTGTCTCCTTTTTGAGGGACTTCGAAAATTATTATTATTTTTTATGTTTACCAGCAAAAAAGGGGTACGCTCAAACAAAAGACACACTAAAATGATCCTTCCTCCACAAACATGTACATGTGAGTCACAATCAAAACCTGGTACACAAATGGTGAACCCAGAACCATGCTTCAAGAATTAGAAAGGCGGATATCCGCAACTATTTCCGGCTGGGACTGCCCCTGCCCCTTACCAACCTTACCCGGGTTTTGAGCAAGTGGCTCATGTGGCAAAATTACCCTTCCTCCAGGTTCGGCAGATCCCTTGGGCAAAAAGTTGCTTCAACAATGGGACAAACCAAACATCCAAAGGGCCCCACACCGAATGCTCGAAGGATTGATTCCCCAGTCTCTTCACCCATCCTTCTCTTTGGAAACCTCCCATTCTCCAGGGTTTTGGCCCATTCTTTGAAGAGAATGATGCCTGAAGAGAATTGGGAGGGTACAGCTAGAATAATGCCCAAACAAAAGACACACCCAAATTCTCCTTCCTCCACATACCCTTCCTCCAGGTTTGGTAGATCCCTTGGGCAAAAAGTTGCTTCACCAGACCAAAAATCCAAAGGGCTCTTCCGCTCGGAATCTGGGGCGCCTTCTGATAGGTCTCCACGGTGGGCGCGGCCCCGGCGGGGACGAACTGCTGCCAGATGGGCGGCGGGGGGCCCGAGGCGTCGGTGAGGTTCAGGATGGCGCCCCAGTCGGTGCTGAAGTCGCAGTCGTCCTGGAGAAGAAACCACCGGGCGGTGAGGTGGGTGGGTGGGTGGGGGGGTGGGTGGGTGGGGGGGTGGGGTGGGGTGGGGTGGGTGGGGGGGGAGGTGGGGGGGGAGGTGGGGGGGGGGGATGAAAAAAAACACCGGGCGGTGGGAGGTGGGGGGGGGATCCATGACTTAGATTCGTTGGTGGGGTTGGTGGGGGAATGGGGGGGATGGAGTGGGGTGTTTGTTGATTCCATGGCTTAGGCAAGGGTTCCTTGGCCCTCGTTTTAAAAGAAGGGCCTGGGGACCCACTTTAGATGATGACCGTCCCTAGGTAGTTCTATTAAGCCAACCAATGATGGTTTGAACCCCATAACCACTGCCCTGACCAAGCACCCAGCCTCTAAAAACCAAAGGGAACATGGCGAAGGGTTGCTTTAATGGCTTTCCTGGGATCAGAGGAAAATACCTCCTTGCACATGGGTTGATGTCAAAACAAATGCGGGGTCCTCTTGGAACACTACTTGCGTGGCTCTTTTGTTTTTTTTTAGTTGCTACCCTTTTTGGCCAATCTTAAAGGGAAACCAAGCGGAGCTGTTTTGGGGTTCCCCTAAAAAAGACGCACCCACTTAGAAGACCCTCCCAGCCCGCATTAGGATTCGTCCCTGGACAAGTCAGGTGGCATGGCCACTCATCAAACCAGGGACGATGGGAATGGACTCCAGAAATCCACACACCAAACACCCGGACACCAATTTCTTCCTGTTCGGGTCCTTGTTCACAAAGGAAGGTGGCCCCTTGTTCAGGGGTGATTCCGATTTTGAGTCCGCTCACCAACTAAAAGGGAAGACAAGAGGTTCGCCAAACGGCTCCAGTCCGGAGGGTTGACATGTAGTTAGAGCTTTACCTTGTCATATTCACCCACATGGATTGTTTGCCTATCGGGGTCCAAGGGGGTAAACATGGGCAGGCGCTTCCCCCAAAACAAAGCGACCAGCATTGTACCATTTGCGGGTGATGCGGCCATGTTCAAAGATGATTGCTCCTTGTATCAGAGAACGTCTTTCAATCTTCTGCAACCATGGCCTTGACTCCAATGATGAACAACCTGCCAACCAAAGTTCAGTCAGTTTCCAAATCAACAGTCAAGTTTGGCAACCGCCCATGGGTTCTTTGAATGTCCCTGCAAGCAGTGGTTGCTTGTGTTGGGAACCCCCCGCGAATTGTATGATTCAGTTAGTACTTCTCAAAACATTGTACGGAAAGCAAATGCATGTAGTTCTTGTTTGCTTCAACACATGAAACTGTGGTGTTTAATGATTGGGCTTGTCCGCATTTGCTTGTTTTGACTTAGTTGGGTGGTTTTGACAACCCTCCACCGGACAACGCAAAGCTTTATTATGCCCCCTCGTTTCTCAATGGTATTTTGGCGAGTGCGCCTCATATCATCCTGCTGCAGGCGGCAGTAACTATTGACCCTTGCTTACCTCGCATTTCTTAGCGGCAAGGGACAATTCCTTTATCAACAGGAACCAGCGATAAGGGGAAGCGGGGATGTGCGAGGCTCCCTGTCAAGAACACCATGTCTAAATGTTACCTGACAAATGGGTGTCTCTTTTCAGGGTGCCGGTAATGGTGGTTTCACAGGGACGTCAAAAAGAAAACCTCCAGTTTGGGGGTGCCAGCATCTTAAGACACGCCCAAATCTTGGCCCATTCGGGGGTACACAGAGAATATGGCTTTCAGAGTGTGCTTCATATTTAGTATATCCTAAAACATAACATAATCTTGCAGGAGACCCCAAATATACCCGCCTTGGTGGCTGTTAACCCCTCTGCCAAATGTTTGACTTTTTGTTCATCCGATTCGGAACATCCACAGAGTCTCAACCAAAAAGCTGTTCATTCCAAAGACCTGTTACCAAACTTTGTCATAAAGCCACATGCTTCTGCCTGCATTTGCTAATGCTGACCGCATAGTAATCAACCCCGACCTATTAATGCGTAAAAACAGCCCCTCCAAAAGTGGTCTGATTCCCCACTAAGCCCAGGAAAAAGCACCCCCCCTTTTGATAAACGCGGGTTGATGAATCCGGGGTCAACATCAACCTACTACCTCCATTTGCAGCAGCGGTTCCTCTTTAAAGGCATGAACATATCAAGAGTGAAATCGAGTCTTCAAAAAAAACACCTCCCTCCCGAAGCCCCGAACCTCCGGTCCAACGAGAACCAACACACAACTCGTCACATCTCGTCTCGCGTCCTTCACGGCGGCGCCCACCGTGGCCATCTCCCCGAAGTTGGCCATGAGCGCCGTCCAGTCCCCCGAGCACAGGGCCCCGCTGTTCACCGCGGCACCGCAGGCGTTGGCCGCGAAGGAGAGGTACGAGGCCTCGAGCTGCCAAAGGCGAGGTGCGCGCGCGCCCCATCCGTTGGCGGAAGTTCCCGGGGAGAAAACGCGTATTTTTCCGGTGGTGACATGGATTCCCCCTTCAAAACCAACAAGGAAAAAATAAAGAAGGGTCTTAAGCAGATTGGAAGCTACTCAACAAGATTTTCAGGGATGGGTTTTGCAGGTATGGAGGATATAGTACCAGCTTGTATGAGTGGTATATAAGCATGCACTGCTCCAAAAGTCATCCCTGGAAAAGGTCTTGACCTATTGTTGTTGTGCTGGGGTTTGCAATCACCAATAAACACATTCCCCTTTTTCCCAAGGTCACTGATATCATACCAACTGGTGCGCCATGAATGTTGTCCATCCAAAGTAATGGGAACCCCCCAGTTTATCAATAGTCCATGAGTTCAGTGGGGCTCATCACTTTTGATGGGGCCGCCACCCTCTATTAATTGTATTAATAGGATGGGTTTATTAATTCGAGGTCAATGTTAGGCTCATTCCCAAAACTTTTGAGAATCCCTCTGAGAAGCAAGAAAACGTGTGCAGGGCCCCTAAGTCCCCCAACACTACCGCACAAGGAGACTATTCCAGAAAACATGCATTGTTGCAGGTACCCTTATCCGGCCTGCGTGCAGGTGAACCGAATGAAACACCGAGACCCCTTTTGAAGCAACTTTCAATGTTTGCTTCGGTGCTGTTGTCACGCAAAAAGGGGAACTATAGCGGACCCTAAATTCTGTCTGTTAGGGAATCCATCATGACACATCATGAAACTAGCTGTTTGCGTTTCATAGTTTAGTAATGTTAGCTTCAGATTAATTCGGAGGACCGTACTAGGCAGCATGGTTCTGCATCGGTGAGGAGTTAGTCTGGTTGAGCGGGTAGCGTTTCCAGGTTTGACGGAAAAGCCATTAGACAGTTACTTCCAAACGGGCGATTCGGTGACGCACCAAAGACAAGCCATGCATACTTGACTTTCCCAGCAAGCGTTCGTATCTTAAACATCCATTGCTTTTGAGCCAATACTTCCAGTGATAATTCCCTTTGTCACCAGCAAGAAAAAACAATCAAATAACGCAAGTGGAAGGTGACCACGTGAATAGCAACCCGGGGAAAAAGACACTTACGTGGTTGTGGGGTTCTTCCTTGGGGGACTTCGTACTGGGGGTTATTCAAGTGGATCCACCCCTTCACGCAATTCTCGCTCAAGTCCAAACTTTTGGTTTGCCACCAAGGTCAGCCAGAAAGAGGGTATAGGGAGCTATGCAGTGCTTTGTGCGTCAAAAAAAATGGTGCAAACCCAGTCTCAAAGGGCAACGCCTGGAACGGCTTTAAAGGGAAATCAAAAGAAAAATCCAACCACCTGGAGAGGTCCCCAACTTTGAGACATATGGTTCGCAGGTTGAGGAAACCCGCCTTTGCCCTAACAAAAAGACGCCCCAAAACAGAAGGAACACTTTTGTTTACCACGAAAATGGTCTTCCCACCAAGTTAAGATTCCAGGAGCTCGGAGAATCAGATCACCAAACGGAACCGAACCAAATCTTTCCAAGGCTCGATCCAAGTGATAGAGGTGATGAAGCCAGCCACGCTCACAGCGCAGCCCACCGGCGTGTTGTCCGGGCACTCCAGGCCGTCGTATTCAATGGCCTTCCCGTCTTTTCGGAGAAGGAAGACTTGTTTCTAAAGAGTTTGTTTTTGCTTTTTCTCCCTTCATATGCCTGTTGGCTCTGTTTTTGGCCCTTGGTGCCTCGTTTTTGCCTTTTTTTGACTTTTGTCCCACTTTGCCATTCTGGCCTTCTGCCTTTCGTCCCTCGGTTCGCCTGTTGTGACTTCATAGCTTCTTTTGAAGGCCTGGCTTTGCCTTCAAATCGTTCTTCTGGTTTGTGAGCTTTTCTGGGTTTTGCTGTTTTGGTTCCCCAAACAAATCAGGGAGGATGGGGGCTGTCCTTTCTTTGAGAGTGGGTACCCTGTTTGGGGCTTTAAAGGAAGCCAAAAGGAAAGTCACCTATTGTGGGGCCTCCGGATTGTTCTCAGGGACAACCAGAGGTGGCCTTGTGGGACACATCTCACTCTGAGTGGACTGGCCCAACCATGTCTGATGCTGTTTGTTTAACATGGGCTTCTCAACAAGCATATATAAAAAGTATTTTTACTCTGGGTGTCGCAACCTCCCCCCCCCCACCCCCGCCCCGATTTTGAGGGTCCCCAATCATCCCTATCCATTTGCTTTAAGTCTCCCGGACAACAAAACAAGATTTCCGTGGTAAAATAGATTGCCTTAAATCCCGAGACGGGAACATACTCAACTATTCATTTCAGCAAATTCAACCCAAACCTTCCCACAACCATTTGTTAAACTGGGTTGCCGGAAAAACCAACTGCTTTTCCCGTTAAAGGGCGTCCTCACGTCCTGAGTAGATTGACCAGAATAAGCTTCAAACGAATTCGCTGTGTCCAAAAATAGGCACCCCATTGTTGGATGGCTTTAAAAGGAAACCAACGAGAAACCGACCACCTGGAGAGGTTCCCTGAGTTGCACTCTGCTCCCCTGCTCAAAGTTTAACTTTTAGTGGTTTAATGGAACACCCATTTGTTGGCAAAAAGTTGTTCAGTCCTAACATATGCAACATGGATCAAAGGTTCTCCGAATTGCCCCGTTTTTGGGGGGCGTCCTGGTGGCAAGGGGTCCCGCCTTGTAGAGGAAGACCACCGCCTGGCCCAGGTAGGCGGCGGCCTGCACCACGTCGATGACGCACTCCGTGCGGATCCACGGCAGCTCCTCTCCGGGGAGTTCGACATCTGCGGGGTCCAAACGTTTCGGCCAGAGAGACTAGGTCCTCCAGGCTTCTGGGCTTTGAATGACCCCTCCATTAGACACCCCGGAGGTGGTGCCTCTGGGTAGAGAGCCTAGAATAAGGGTACCAACTCTTTCTGTAAGAGGAAGCCTCCCACAAAAAAAGGGTGAGAAAGGGCACTACTGGGGGACCAAGGAGAACCGGTGTTCCTGCGTTGGTGAGGGAAACACCAACTGCTTTACCCGTTAAAGGGCGTGGGTGAAATGGGGTTGTGGACTTTTTAGGTAACTCCAATGCATGGGTGACCTTTTGGACAAATTGATGGCCCTGGTATGTGGACAACGCAAATCCTAACTAGTGCCATCTAGTTCAAGCCAAACTGAGGTAAGCAGGACTCCTATGCTCCGGTGTTTAGTCTATGGCTGTCTTTTAGGGGAACCCCTTTTTGGGTGGTTTGAAAGGAGAATGAAAGGAACACCACCGTTTTGGGGGGAGGTAAGCTGTTTGAAGATTCCGGTTGTTCGGTGAAACAAAAGAAAATAAGTCAGTTAGTTGAGGGGTAGTGGACAGGCTGGGTGTCTGTGTCAGGGGAACAAAAGGCCATCCACCACTTTGACCACTCAAATGGTCTTCCCAATTTCAAAGGGAAACAATGTCCAGGAAGTCAAAACGTGGTCAGCAAGTCCCCTCACGTGAGGACTTCAGGGCTGGACAGAAAAACACCAAACCCTTTCCGCGACACCATTTGGTAAGATTGATTCCCATCCCAAAGTGTCTCCTTTGTCCTTTCAAGGGGATTACAACTTGGCTTGGAAACAGAAAGCGGCAACCCAAACAACCAACACTTTCACAACCATGCCTGAACCACGTTGACCATTAAACTATTGTTTCCCTCATAGTTGTCTTTTGAGGTGGGCCATAAAGTGGCAACCACATCCATCCAGGCTCCTCCCTGTGGTCTGGATTGGCTCCAAAGACTCAAGCTGCAAGCGAGCCACTTGTTGCCCGGCCACTGGGCGTCTGGGCACTGGTTTGCTTCAAAATCAATGCTTCACAAGTTTTGCCAGGCTTCCCTTGTGGTGTCCCGTGGATCACGGAACATTGGATTTTCTGTTTTGAATCATGTTGACCCCGGATGAATAAACCCTTCCTACTTGTTTGTTGGGTGTCTTTTTGATCCGAAGTCAACCAGGGACACCCCCATCTCTTAAAATTCATATGGGGCTCTGCCAGAGTTGGACTCCTGGTGCTTAAAAGGGGTGCTGAATTTGGGCTATGAACACATAAATAAAAAAGTCAGATCCCATCTTGGTGTTCCTTTTTGGTGATACCCCCAAAAAGCTGCTGGTTTCCAGACTTTATGGCTTTTTGAGTGCCAAATTGGGGGTTCAATCAAAGTCGCACACCCTCGTGGGTTGGTGTGCTTTATGTCTCTGACACCATCTAAGTTGGTGATCACTTTTTGGGGCCATGCTCAAACATGGACCAACAATCGGAAAAACAAAAAAAAAGGTCAAAAGGTGGGCTGTCCCTCACTACCCTTCTTCGGTTTTAATGCCTCATAGCTTTTCCGCAGGTCTAACTTTCTGTTGGTTCAGTAGAAACTACCGTACTAAACCTTTCTTGGACACACAAAGCATGGCATATCTCCCTACACCTTCCTAGGCCTGCATGGCCTTGCTAACTTCAGGCTGACCTTGCCTCTGGCCAGAGGCAAGGAACCGGATGGCTTCGGGGGGTCCCAAGTAGGTAACTTCGGCTTGGCTCTGAGCAAGTCCCTGTGTCCTCCGGCTGTGAGGCATAGAAGAGATCATTCAGGTTCCGCAGCGGTTGCTTCAACTCCAAACCTCGCCCGCTCCCGTGGGAACCTTTGTTAAGGTTGGTAAGGTGGGCCTTAAAAAGGTTACATGGGTATGTATGCATGTATGTATATGTATATGTATGCATGTATGTACGTATGTGCATGAATGTATGCATGCATGTATGTATGTACGTATGCGTGTATGTATGTATGTATGTATGTATGTATGTATGTATGTATGTGTGTATGTATGTATGTATGTATGTATGTATGTATGTATGTATGTATGTATGTATGTATGTATGTATGTATGTATGTATGTGTTTATGTATGTATATAATGTATCAATGTATGCAACGGATACAACACATGCAACATATGCAATGTATGCAACGTATGTTTGCAACGCATGTATGTATATAAGTATGTATGTATGTATGTATGTGTGTGTATGTATGTATGTACGTATGTATGTATGTATGTATGCGTATGCATGTATGTATGTATTATTGTAATGTAATGTAACGTAATGTAAATGAAATGTATTGTAATGTAATGTATGTAATGTATGCAATGTATGTAAGTATGTAAGTATGTAAGTATGTAAGTATGTATGTAAGTATGTAAGTCAGTAAGTAAGTAAGTAAGTAAGTATGTGTGTATGCAACGTAATGTAAAGTAATGTATTGTATTGTACTGTATTGATGTATGTACGTATGTATGTATGTATGTATGTATGCATGTAATAATGTATCGTTGAATGTGTATATATATATATACATATATGAATGTAGGGTGCGTATATATGTATGTATGCATGCATGTATGGATGTGATGTATGTATGTATGCATGTACGTATGTATGTATGTATGTATGTGTATGTATGTATGTATATATGTATGTAGTGTAATATATGAATGTATGTGTTACATGAATGTAATGTAGGTATGTATGTAAGTATGTCAGTATGTATGCATGTATGCATGTATGTCTGTCTGTCTGAACGTATTATATGTAATATATGTGTTATATTATATGTATTATATGTATATGTGTTACATGCACTATTTGTATTATTTGTATTACGTGTATTATCTGTATGTATTGTATTATAGTGTATTGTATTGTATTGTATTGTATTGTATTGTATTGTATTGTATTGTATGTACGTGTATAGATGTATGTATGTATGTATGTATGTATGCATGCATATATGCATGTATGTATGTATGTATGTATGCATGCATGCATGCATGCATGCATGCATGTATGTATGTATGTATGTATGTATGTATGTATGTATGTATGTATGTATGTATGTATGTATGTATGTATGTATGTATGTATGTAATGCATGTAATGCAATGTATGTATGTAATGTAGGTATGCATTTAAGTATGTAATTATGTAAGGGTGTAAGTATGTCAGTATGTAAGTATGCATGCAACGTATGCAATGTATGCAATGTATGCAACGTATGCAACGTATCCAACGTATGCACGTACGTCTGTATGTATGTATGTATGTATGTATGTATGGAATGTATGGAATGTATGTAATGTATGTATTTAATGTCGGTATGCATATAACCATGTAAGTATGTAAGTGTGTATGTATGTATTGTATTGTATTGTATTGTATTGTGTTGTGTTGTATTGTATTTTACGTATGTATGTATGTATTTATTGTATGTATGTATTGTTTTGCATTGTATTGTATTGTATCGTATGTATGTATGCATGTATGTCTGTTGGTATGGCATGGTATGGTATGGTATGGTATGGTATGGTACGGTATGGTATGGTATGTATGTATGTACGAATGTATGTACGTATGTATGTGTGTATGCATGCATGTACGTATGTATTATATGTATGTATTGTATGTAGTATATGTATTGTATGTATTATATGTATGTATGTATGTATGCATGTATGCACGCATGCATGCATGTAACATGGGCTCATCATTTAAGGCTGGACCCACCAACAGGGGTAGTTTGTTTATACATGGTCACTGGATTCCCCCATTCAAAAGTTGAGAGATGGACGGGTTGCTTTTGTTTTGATGGTTTTGCAGTGGCAAGCGGTTGGTTACCTGTAGGGGTAAATGGATCCACTGGGTCACCGGACTTCCCCGTAAGGTGCAGTGTACTGGTGGGTTCCAACAAAATTGCCACTCTTTGGAGCTCCACAACAGGAACATGGAGGGCATCCTGTTATATGGGTGGCTCTGTCTTTAAGGTTGGACCCACCAAAATGACTTTCCTTGGGTTTCCCTTTGCCACAGAAACAAATGGTAGCCTCGCTTGCTAACCCAACCCAGGCAGTAGAACCACCTCAAATGGCCAATGGGAATCGGCTTCTCTGCGCTGCTCATGGGGTGTCTGAGGAAGGAAAGCCAAAATGGATGGTTGCGATTCAATTGTTTTGAGAACCCAGATTGCAGAGCTGGTTTCATTTGAGCTTAAACAATAAAATACGTGGAACCTCACGTTTCGGGGTCCTTGACTGCTTTCCTTTAAAGGGACCCTCTGATAGGGTTCCATGGCAACGTGGACAGGAGCCTATCAAAGACCCCCGTTCGCCATAATCCGAGTCCCGATCGAGTGAACAAATCGGACGATAAAAGTCCCGAAACCGTGGTAAGCGCAGAAAATTAGAGGGCTTTCCTTGGTCACATTTAAAGCATCCACCATAAGTCTGGCAATGGTAAAAGGGAAGGGACCTGGTCCTCCCCCCCCCCCCCGCAATTTGGAGACACAGAGGTGAGATCTATGTAACATCCACTAGGAAGATATCCAAAAAACAGAAGAGATGGTGTACCACATCGATCTACATTTGGGAATTCTATCAGACCTGACAGGAAATCGCTTGCCCCGTCCCTGTTGACGCATTGTGGCCCAGGTGACCAATAAATAGTGGCGTTCCTGTTCTAGACTGGTTTCGTTATTTTACCACAAAAGTGGTAGATTAAAGGACACCACCCCCAAATCTTGACTTTGATGACCCCCCACAACTGACTTATCGAGCTGATGGGCCAAAACAAGCTCCCAAACTTTTTGTTTGCCACTCAAATGATCCAAAGCTAAAAACAGGATGTGAGAGACACCGGCAAAATAACGAATTCAGGTAGAGGGGATCCGGCTGTGGAGAAATACTTGGCAACTGGAATCATCCCCCCTCGCAACTACCCGTGACGCACTTGAATGGCCAAGCAAGTTCTCGGTTGCTTTCTGCTCCCCTGCTAAAAGTTTAACTTTTAGTGGTTTAGTGGAAAACCCATGAGTTGGCAAAAAGTTGAAGTCCTAACAGCCAAGCAAAATGCACCAACGAGTTCATTTGTTTGTAAAAAACAAAAACAAAACAACAAACACATCGACTAAAACTGTCTTCTCACGTGTTTCCAGTCCAGGAACCTGGGAAGTGGCCTGAAAAAGAACCCAAACGGAAGTGAAGAAATCAAAGGGGCTGGGAACCCCAGGACTGCCAATAGTTACATAGGGCATGCGGAGTTCCTTGAGATCTCATTCGAACTTAGCAGATTTCGATGTGATCAAACGGAGAAGCCACCAAACAGTCAGGGGATACCCAGCCCAATGGCACTAGTGGACAACTTGGAGCCTTTTTGTGGTGGATTCCAGTTTCTGGGCTGTCCAAAGTGATCCCCTGCTAAAGGTTCAACTTTTAGGTTAAATGGACGCCCAACCGCTAAACCAACTAACAACGCCTAAAACCCTTTCTGGAACCAGAGGATTCGTTTGGGAACCGGTTTAACACAAGCAATCGCAAATGGAATAACACCCAGCGAAACCAGTGCCATCTATGTTTGAGCAAACTAAAAAGGACCCCTATGGTTGGAACCTTTCTCTGGATTAACAAAAACGGAATCAGGGTCCAAGCCACACGACTTACGAGAAGCCAACCGGCTTGTGCAAAAGACATGTAGTTTTGGCTTCGCACCTGGACAAGGACATTGTTTCATGTCAGAAGGAATTATTTCGCATTTTTTGGGAATCGGACCCCCCAAAAAATGTGGCGTTCCTTTTGGCTTCCCTCCAACACCACCCTAAAAGGGAACCCTCACAAAAAGACAGGGTTGATTCCTGGGTCACCGGAATTCCCCGAATCAAAGTTGATCAGTTGACCGGTGGCTTCCCTTGAACCGGTCGAATTGCACGAAACCGAGGTTGATTCCTCACGAGAAACACCCAGATCCCGCCGATTGGTTGCTCAATCCCCTTGGAACAACTTGGATTCTATCAAAAAGTTCCTTTTAAAGCACAATGGTCTTTGGTGGACCTGAGGTTCCATGACAGGAGGGTACCCAGATCCCCTCCGGTTGCTCGCGCAATCTTGGATCAACTGACTCGATCAAGCTCTGCGTTCCGAGGAACTCTCGGCTCTCTTCACGACCCGATCGATTCCGGGGATCTCCTCCCAGTTTTGGATCAAGTCCTTCTTGGTTGCCAACGTCCTTGCCGCTGGCAAGCATCATGGACCGGATATTCGGGAAATCGTAGCACTTTTTGCCGCAAAAGCCTGAAACTCGCAAAACTCCCACTATTGCAATGCTCGCGGCCTTTGACAGATCAAAGGAAGCTTTGCAGGGGTAAACGACTGAATGCAGCCCGCAAGTTTGTCAAACATGCAACGCCGGTCCAAAGTTGTGCGGTGCAGAAAAATCGTACCCGTTTTGACCGCAAAACACCAGCAAATTTCCGCAAATCTCCCGTAAAAACCGCAAACTCCCGCAAATCAGAAAAAGTCGAAGACGGAAACTACGTTTTTTGTTTTTGTTTTTTTCTCAGGAGGACGAAGGTCCAGGTGATGGCCAATGGTTGGTTTCATTTTGGTTTCCGTTCAAAAGCACTCCAAAGTGGTATCAGCAAAACGAGACACGCCCGACACCTGTTTCGGTTGTTAAGACAACCAGGTTAAAATGGTGAGGGGAACAGAGGTGCATTTAGTCACTGTACACTTTGGTGAAAGTAGACGGCGAATTGAACTACAACCCATTGAGTTTGGTCATCCCCTGCACTTACCCAAAGGGGTTGTGCCGTCTACTTTCAACCAGCTTTGCGGTTGTTTCAGAGTCTCCTCACTGTCCGCGGATTTTTGAGCTTCTTGAACACCCTTTGGAACAGGGTTCCAGATTGGCCCCAAGGTGATGTTTGCAACCACCAAACGATGAATTTGCAGCTCTGTTTGAAAGTGATTTACAAAATACGATGCAGGACGTACGGCCAGCCAGCACGCGCTGTCTACAAGTGAGGGATATGACTGCAAAACATAAGTTAGTATCTGTGCATGTTTTCTTGATATGTCCATGTGTCATCCACGGAGCATTTCCAATTGACTTTACTGTTGTTCTCTTTTCTTTGGATTCACATGCATTTGTTCATGCTTTAAAACTCATCCCACAGAAAATTGAGTAAATTACACATGTCGAACATCATGTTTGTCTCATGGTTCAAAGAAACAATACAGACCTTCTTGGCAAACAACAGACTTATAACACTTTATACACATAAAACACTGTGATAGTGTATATTCATTCCAATAGGAACATGAAGACAAAACCATATTTCAACTAGTGCATTAATCAAAGTACCAACTGATACTATATAGAACATCATAGCGTGATCATATTGAGGTTTTCGGTGCCTTCCTTTCATCTCATCTTGACTTGTATATCATATGTCATGCCAAGACGGGCTGGGAAAGTGAAAGACGTGGAAAGGTGCTCAGTGTCTTCTTGTGAGGCCGTTGGCTTCCTCGTAAGGACCCCTTGAGCTTGTACAAATTTGAGCAAATAAATCCGCTTGGTCCAGGATGTCAAGCTGCTCTCAGCCCAAGGCTTCGTTGATTCCACATTTTGCGCATGTGGAACAAGATGAGCTAGATGCGATTTCTTCTGAGCTGCCATGCATGAAGAGGTGTGTGTGTGTGTGTGTGTCCGATGAAGGCAGTCGTTCTTCCCGGAAGAAGATGGAGCACCATCTGCACTATTGTCATCCCCAGCAAGCTCCTTCCCAACAAAGGACGCACTCACGGCAGGGCAGCAATCGACTTCAACCAAGGTGCGTAGCCGCTGTACGCGAAGCCGAGAGAACCCCGACACAGCCCAGGAAGACAATGGCAGTCGCAGCAGCCAGGACGTACCTGAAGCAATCATATATGCCTCACCTGAGTCTAACGAAGTCTAGCCAAAACTCAGTGTCCCCTTAGGGACCCAGGAATACAAAAGCGATCACCTGTTGGGGTCATGACAAAAAAAAACCCAACAAGGGAAACTGAAAAGTTCAAAGGCGGGCTTTGGGCAAGTGAGAGAGAAACCATGCAAAGAACCAAAAGGGTGGGATTGTCCCTAAGCCTAGCCTTCTACGATTTTGTTGTCTCACTTGAGTTTGGTTTCCAAGGGGGGCCACCTCCCACCACCTGTGGAAGACAAGCTTGAAGCTCAGGTTCTCTTGAAGAGAATGCAAAATGTTGACCCCGGATTAGTACACCCTGGTTTATGAATATGGGGGTGGCTGCCCTTGCAAAAATGCCTATCTCCGCTAAAACCAAGGACACTTCTTGCAAACTTTACTATAACTCCAAGATCAGATTTAAGGGATGCAAGTAAAGGACCTTTATCATGGTGAGCTCGTTGTACACCGAAATGAGCTCATAACGGAGGCAGATTCGTAGAGACCCTAGTAGTGAAAGATTGCAGAAGTGATAACGCTATTTCCAGTAGTGAAATCGATTCTCATTAAAAACCAACAGGGGGAAATCCAAAAAACAAATCGTTTCCGCAAAAAGACACTGGGTCATCCAGTAGAGAGTTCAGAATAAGGCTACCCTTTTTCTCTGTAGTCTATTTTTCCCCCCAAAAGGTTGGTAAAAGGGCACTACTGGGGGACCTAGGACATGTCGGTCGACCTCGGCATCTGTGTTGAAAAACGCAAGTCGCCCAAGTGCCCGGCTTCACTCGCGAGGACTTGCTCGTCGTGGGCTGTTGCTCGGTCAAGAGCTCCCTGGTGTCCTCCACTTCCATCTGGGCCATGTCGGTCGACCTCGGCAAAGCGCCGGCCGTAACAACAAAAAGCCACAAGCCGAAACTAGCCCCAAATGGGTCTGTTTCCGTTTTGTTTTTTGGATTAAACAAATTAAATGAAACAACAAATAAAACATATCCCTTTCAACGGGAAACCACATGTCCTTTTTTCGGGGTGCCCTAAAAAAGACACCAAGATAAGGCGTTACTGAGGGTTTAAACAATATGAGCTAATTTGGGCTCCCTCCCCTCACCCCCCAGGCCCATGAGTTGTGCCCTGCACCACATGGCTTGTTTTGCGTCCGAAGCAAAAGGGAGGAACTCCGGAGGGTCCAATCTGTGGCACTCCGGCAAATATTTGGGAACGACCTTTTTTCTTTTTACCGGGGGCGGGGGGGGGGGGGGGCAAAACACCGAAACATCCCCTACCATGTGCCACGGTCTCCACGATCAGAATTCCTGTATTCCCACTGCATAGGATTCCTTACCATGTTTGTCTTGTTTTCCTGTGAAGGGTCCATGATCAGCCCTATAAACCCTAAGCAAAAAGGTATCAAATTCACGGTTCCTTTGCTTCCGCCCTTTTAGGCGTGCTCTCGTGTCTAAAACCTCTTGTGCAAGGCGTTCCTTTGAGGTAGTTCCTTCAATTGGACGTGATCCAAAGCGGGACCGGGGTAGAGGCCAAAAGTTGAAGGGAACCCACCCACTTGGCGCATGCCAATGCAATCCAGTCTCAGCGGAACAGTCGGAATCAGCGCGGTCTGAGCCAAACTGACGGGAAACGTATCCATGGGCCAAACAATGAGTGGGACTGGGCCAAATCGAGGACCTTCTTAATCTGAGCTTTTGCCCCCAACTAAGCCAGCATTTTGAGATTCTGGTCAGTGTTCGGTTGAACGTGAAAGGCCTGATGTCAGCTGAGCGTTGGTTTTTATTCCCTACAAACTTGCTTGGACATTATTCAAGCTTCCGCGGACCCTTCCGCATCCTTCCCGCGGGCCAAGAGGTCCCTTCCGCGAACTTCCGCGGCACATGTTTTTCATTGTTTGCTTCCGCAAACCTTCCGCGGGGCATGGTTTACAAGTTTTGCTTCCGCGAGCATTGGCGCAGAAACAAATGTCATTTTAAGTGAGGTAGTGTTCCGCAGCTTGTGTAGGCTTGGGCTCCAGTGGGCTACCCATGCTACGTGGCCGCTTGCCTGCAAACACGGGGCCACCCTTCCGCGGAGCTTCCGCGAAGCTTCCGCAAACCTTCCGCGAAGTACGCCGGCTGTTTTGGCCTTCTTGGCTTGCTGTTGGCATCTGCTCTTTGAGTAAGCGTTACGTTTCTTGTACGCAGCAACACCTTTTCTTCTACTGGAATTGTTTCTCCGAGCTTTTCCACGCACGCACTGAAACATTTAGTTGTATATCAGCCACCAAGCTTCCGCAAACCTTCCGCGAACAAATCCCTTCCGCGAGCCTTCCGCATGCTTCCGCGCGTGTGGCGCGGCGCACATTTTCAATAATAATGTCCCTCTCCCCACTAAATTAGCTTGCGGGCAAAAAAACCGCCGCTCAGCTGAGATCTCAGTATTTAAAGGGATAACGACGGGTTGTTGCACTTTGAGGAACATACCGGCAGTCCAAACAAGGCCGATTTGAGTCGTGTGAAGACCTTTCCAGCCAAAAAAGCATGCCAAACTGACCTGCTGAGTTGACGAAAGGCCGAAAGAAGCTTAAAAATGATCACACCGCGCTAGCAAGGGCTAGTTCAAGAAACCATTTCCAGAAGAGTCCCAGACATAGGTGGCCTCTAAATACATGGCACTGGTAAACTGCCCGAGGAACAGCTAACCCACAGTCTCCTACCCTAGTACTTGTACCGCATTTGGACCCAAGTACATGCTTAGAGTATGTTCTCCAAGTACCTAGGATGCGACATGTTTGGGTGGCGCAGGTCGGGTGTAGGTTCTATCCTACTTCGGGGACGTACTATAAATGGGTTTAGTCGGGTGCCGCTATCCGAGCATGGTAAGAGTTCTCGTGACTACGCCCCCCAGCGCAATAACAACAATAAAAAAAGCAACGCTTTTTGTTGCTTGGTGGACACACTCACATACAAGCTTTGCCCAAAGTCGGCAACATACAAAAGCTGCTCAACCAAAGTCGGCAACGTGGGAAACGACACGTTTTCTCGGTTAGGCATGTCCCAAAGAAGCCGTGACACATCGCAGCCAAGACTTCACGATCCAAGAGCCGCATCCATTTTCCATCGGTTCCGCAGGGCTCTGGGTCGCGATCCTGGCTCGTGAAACTTGCCCAAAGCCGGTGATCGACCTTCCATCTGCTCAAGTTGGCGGGTAAATAAAACATATTCCTCAGAAAATGGAAGTAACTGGTACGGGCCCAGCGTATGCATAACTGATACCCTGGCGATATTGGCAGTTGCTCCTCACATGATCTCACATTTCTGAGCAGGCTGCCTGTGTCTAACTGAGCAACAGTTCTGCTTTCCACTTCGCACCAACCCTCACTTTCCAACTGATATGAGAGGAAACAACTTGGTTCTGTACCGCCCCACCAGAACAGATCCACGACCGCAGCACCTTCTCCACGGGTTCCCTTTTTGTGTGGCCACGAAGCGATTCACTCGCGCGAGAACAGCGGTATGCATGGACCACAAGGGCACCATGTGTCTTGGGAGGGGAAAAAAGGGCATCCCACAAAGGATCGCGTAGATTGGAAACAAGAGGGTCCGGTCCGATTTCTTCTCGCAGCTAACTCGTCTTTCCAAAAACCTGACTTAAGTCCGGGAACTCCAAATCAAGATCTCAGTAGCCAAGTGACTAAACGCACCCTCATCCCACCAGGAAGTCCCAACAAGTGACTAAGAGTTCAGGAACTCACAAAACAAAAGGGTGTTCACAAGTGAGCACCCATTGCATGATTTAATTGGGGATTATAGTAACGGTGTGTCAGTGTTTAGGCGAACCCCTTCTTGGCTGGTTTGAAGGGACACCAACAGGACACCCACAAATTGTGAGGGCCGTATTTTGAACCCCCCCCCATCAGAGACTCTCTCAAGCCATGTGGGTGACATTTGGGACCCAACCTTAGCTGTGCTCTGCCTGTTCCGCGGTCGAACCGTTCGAACCCCGCCTCCCATTCAGCGAACCTGGCGCGCTGCCATCTGAGGTTGATCACCGTGGATTTTCAGAGAAACACGGGCTTGATTCTGCAACCTAGCTTGCCGTTGCTCAGGGAATGACCCAGGGTGTTGAGCATAAATCAAGGGTTTCCCTTAAAGGAAATCATGGGGGATGGTTGATATGGGGGTCATACCCACCTCATTCCCTGCATCTCTCGCACCAAGGCGAGGCACCGCCTCTCCTAACTTTCACCAAGCGGCACATGTTCTTGGGCTCCTAGGGGGAAAAAAACAAGAGGCAAGAGTTGAGGTAACTAACCAGGACACCCCCTCGACACTTTCAAGACTTTCAAGAAATAGCAACCAAGAGTTGAGGCAACTAAGACACCTCCTCACAAATTTCAAGCGAAAAAGAAAAAACAACCCACCGGAAGGTTTAACACCCCATACGCTCCTTTGCCCGCGGGTTCACCTGAGCTGTTCGCGCTTCCCGAACAGCAAGTGACGTGGACGTGCACAGAGCCCCTTGCCAAGAGGAAAGTCGTCTTTTTTTCTATAGGGGTCTAGGCATTTCCATGTTGGTGGTAGGGTTGCAGAGAAATCGATGCCCTTTCAAAGCAACAAGGGGAAATACCACAGATTTTCAAGCAAATGGACACACCAGTTGGATGGTTTGGCTGGTCATTCCGACGTGTTTGCTGCAAACCAACCCCTTCACTCACTCGTTCGGCGCGTCATTTTCAACTACCGGATGTCAGAACCAGTCAGCATCGCATGAGCGGCAAACAATATTTCCTCAACATGCGAGTCACTTGGGTGGTCTTCCCCCGCGGTTCTTGTGGGTACTTTGGGTGATTTTATGTCCATCCCCAAACCTGGACTAGGAATATTGTCAGTGGCTCACATCTATGCAGCGGGCTGCTTGCGACTCTGCGCCTGGCAAACACATGCGTCCTCTTTGAAGTAATGGTAACCTCACAACAAACCTCCACGCTTCGAATAATCTCCCCTCATCGGAGTGTCATTATTCATGTCAGCCAGCATCTTGAAGGAAGTGGTCAAGTGCCAAAAGGCAGATGCAGAGATGAGCATGTCGTATTTACCAAAGCCATCTGCATGTACCTTTGTCAGGACCACAGGCATTCTCAGCTGCAACATCCCCACCGCCGCATACGTCTTTTTGCTTGTACCCACAAAGACCAAACCCATGCATTGAAGGGGCGAAGCAAAGCATCGGAGAATGTGTCGACATTGTTTGGTTTCTTGGAGGGTGTTTCACATAATGTAAAGCAAACCACCATGCTTGGGATAGTCCAAGTGTTGCTCAAACATTGGAGGTTGGGATGTCCGGACTATATACAATGCCAGTTCTGAGCTGAACCGGCTCTGAAAGGAACAAAGGCAACATCCGCCTTTGCGAGCTGACATAGCCTTCCCCCAGACCAGTGGATTTCCACAGGGAAAACCGGCACCAAACGTTTTGGTGGTTGATTCCCAGCTCATTTCGTGAGCGGAGCCAACTGAAGTCCAATGGTCCTAGAAAGTCAACCAGGAACTGGGACAGGAGGAAACCGTCCCAAAACATGATTCCAGTCGAGAAATCCATTCCCTTTACCGACAGGAAGAAAAACACATGGCTGTGGCTCAAAATTACACAGGAGGGGTTACGCGGGTTTTGGTCCATGTTTCCACTTACCAGGGTTCCGTTTGGAGCCACATATTAAGCAAATGAAAGCCAACGAAAAGGCAACACCACAAGTCCGGGATTTCTGGTGCTAAACCAAAAGCTCGCGCAAAGGCATCACTGCACTAGGCGGAGGAGCTTGATCACCTGACGCGAGACTTGTGCAGGACCAACGACAAGGGTATATGTCATCAAGATACAGGGATCCTTACATTATACACCTTGTAAATGGTGGTCTCCCTTTATTTTGGTGGAAAAAGCCATGTTTCAAATGGGCAAAGTGTATATTTTAAGGAGCCCTGAGATATGGGACCCGAATAAGAGCCCGCGGTACGAACAATACGCGGTTGCATGCAGTTACGGGTAAATTCGAGAGGCCTCGCGGTCTTGTGGGAAATTCAAAGAGTTCCCCGTTTCCCAAGCCCCATGTGCACCATAAACAGATCATACTACTTTTAGAACCTCATGCGCGGAGGTGTGGTTCAAAATGCACAAATCCTGCAGACTGCCATTTTGTCGAATTATTGTCAACTGTCTGCCACATAGCATCTTACAGGACAGTTCGGGAACAGTCAGCCAAAGACAAAAGCTCAAGGCTTTTGAATCTCAAACCGAGCAGCCGAAAGCACCAGGGGGGCTCGACTGGCAAAGCCAGAGCAGTGACGCTTGTTTGCTGGTAAGCCTTCACTACTGGACGAGTTCTGATGTCTTGAACATGCGTGTTTCCGAACATCAGTGTTTGAAGGACATTCACCCAGTTTAGAGTTGCGTTTGTGTTGGCTTCTGTGCTTGTTCCTTGTGTTATTTCGATGTGTGTCGGTTTTGGGCAGCTTGAAGAGAGACAAGTCATGAGAAGCCTTCTTTCCATGGGATACTGGTAGACGGGCGATAGCTGCACACCGCATGTTGGTCAATGTCTTTGAATGATTCGGAGCTTCAATCGCAGTTCTTCCTGGGCATGCTATGAGCAGTCCCAGTAAGTCGCTGACAACCCTTAGGCAAGAGATGCCCTACCCACATTTGAGGGACTTACAAACCGGGGTAACCAACCGCTTACGAGCTGGGCTCATCTTAAGGCACACCGCGGATTTTTTCGCTCGCTTCCGCCTGGTCCTTCATGTCCAGCTGCACCAGCGCGAGGGATTGCAACTGCAGCACCGCTGGCAGCAAAGTCTCCTCGGAGACGCCGTACCTCGGCTGAGACCAGGTCTCCCAGAAAGAACTCCGGGGAACTCCCCAATTCACCAGCCGGAAACAAGTTGAATCCCCAAGTAAGCGATCTTCATAGCTCGGAATCGCTCGTTTCAGCCCAGGATCAGTGAGCTTGCGAACTTATTTGTAAACGAGGCAGGTTCTAAGGGGTTCACCGACGGTTTCTGGACCCGATTCATGTGTTATAACCAAAATCACATTTTCATCATGGGCGGGGGAACCAAAACTACGTACCCTAAATGGGTTGCCCTCGTAAATGGAAACAGGAACTAAAACCTGGGGTCCAATTCCTGATGGATTCACTTTGACCCATACCCATTTGGGGGAGAACTAATGTATTTGAAGGAGCAGGTCCCCGAAAAACCCAAACACCGCCGGGTACCATGACTGGGTCGTAGGGCAGAAGAGGCCCCCCCCGTTAAATCTCACGACCTCAGGGATGCCCCGGGTCTCGTGGTTGAACCATGAAGAAGGACAGCAAACATCCAAATTCCATTTGCTTCACACTCACATTGCGTTAAAGGCTGCAACCGCACATCCTGTCCGGGTGGGAAATAGCCATTTTCCCCACGAAGGCGGTCTTGCGCAAGTTAGTGGACACAACAGTTGCTGCACCGATCCAACACACGCGAAAAACCATTCCAACAACCCTAAAGTGGACAGTGGGTTCCGACTTCTGGAAGGGTACGAGAAGAGGGCCTAAGAGCAACTAGAATGGGGTTGCTGGGGCGGGGGGAATCATTTCGCCCCGCACTTTTCACAGGGTATGATGTTGCCCCCCCATAGAAATGGAGGTATCTACTGTGCAAACCGGTAATTCAAACAACTACTCACAAGAAGTGGGGCCACAACATATCTTTGGGGCTCGAGGACACGGTCTCCAAATGTGATCCGCGCAGCGGTGCCAGGGTCTGAAGGAGAACCCCCAGTAACTTGCGCCGCAACCTGGCAGAGTCGCGCAAAAAGACCTTTCAAAGTGCCCACTCTATAACTAAGGGGTACCCTCAACAAAAAGACACACCCATGGTGTGACTCTGACTTTTGTTCTCCCCACTAGATAACATGTTTGCTGTTCATGACCCATGTCCCTTCAAAGCGAACAATGGCATGGCAAAGTTATAGGCTATCGCTCGTGGACACTTCGGCCGTCAAGAAAATGATTTGCCTGAGAGAACCTGTAACAACTGTATCTTCAAGTAGAGGACCTTCCTGATGGGCGAGCTCCGTTTGCCACTATGAACACCTAGGCAAGCATTTTATGCTTTTTCCAGTTGCATCCCTCGGCTCATTTTTGGGGGGAATGTGCTTTTGACAAGCTCTTTTAAAGAAACATCGACATCTCCAGCTCCTTCGCAGTACTAATAATTGTATGAAGTTAGGTAGTAGAACCGTACTAATCATCTGCATGAAGTTAGGTAGTAGAACCACCTAGCAAAATGACCAATAAGAATCGGTTTTGGGCATTCCTTCGGCAAGCATTCTGTGGTGTCAACTGCTCAAAACCACGGGCTAAGCGGAAATGCTGCACATACAAATGTTAGAGTCTATCGTCCCTAACCCAAAGAAAGCATTTCTGTTGACGCCACATTTAGTATTTATTCATGTGAGGTCTATTGACCCCGACCCCCCAGGCTGGTCCGGCCGGGGTTCCGAATTAACCTGTACATTCGGGGCTTAACACGACTCAAGTGCGCAAGTGACGCTGGGCTCTGAATAGGGCACCTGAACAATTTAAAGCATATCGATCCTCGTTTGGTTTCCTTTATGGGAAATCAACCAAAATTGGCTATAGCACCAAGGACAGAATTACTTCCAATTTTGTGCTTTACTTGGGTGGTCAAGTCCTTAGTTCCCCCGTGTCCTCCCCAAATCAACAGTAGTGGACGTGGCAATGCAAAGACACCAAGACGAACACACAAGCAAACAAAAACAGAGTACATTTATAAAATACCGATGTTTTGACATAGCATATCATAAGTACAAAAACAAAACAATACAAAAAGGACGGGGACAATTCCCGCAGTGTTCTCCTATGACTAAATTTGGTTTACCCTCCCAACACCATTCTAATCAATTGGGCCCGGCACCCTAGTGATTCTCTCAATCATTCCACCCTGGGGTTACACTATTCCACCCCCTAAAATTACACTCACTTCCCGAGTTGACGGTCCAAAAATAAAGCCACAACTTGTTGTTTGCCAAAACGGTCCAAACCCAAAAAGCGAAAGTCCAGGAACTGAGAAAGTGAGTACATGAGGCTTCTGTGCCCCTTTTGATTTCCTTCTTAGTTTCCACGCGGGTTTTGCCTCAGTGCGCGCAGCTGCCGAAGCAGCGGCAGGGCAGTGTCCTCGAGGAGGAAAGGTTGCAATACAAATCTATTTTGACGCATACTTTCGAGAACAAAATCCGTTTCGCACCACTTTGAAACCATGGGAAACCATTGTTTGCTGGTATTTCCAGGGAAACCTCATTGCAGGGTGTCTTAGGTGGTGCAGGACTTCGTCCATGCACAGTAGGATGGGTTCCACTAGGCGCAAAACAAACGCCACCAGAATTGAACGAGCAATAACGAGCATATACCACCATAATACAACGATCCTGTACCCACTATCTTTTATACGGTGTTTGGTTGCACGTCCACAGTTGTATCCGTGTCCATGCATGCAATGAGACATGCACGTATCCCATTGGGGTTCCCAGGAGCTCATTGTTGGATTCATCTTGAACAGGGTTTCCTACATTTGTTACATTTCCCCTACATAGAAACACCTACCAAGGATCCCTCGGGCCTAGAACAAGGAGAAACATTGGGTTGGGGTGCCTGTCATTGAGGCTTGGGGTAGGGGACACCACAAGGACACCGACGCCCAGGCCTTCCAGGTTGCCAACGCGTGTCACGCTTGGCGTTTGCGGGGAAATCGCAAAAGCGGTGGATGCCCAGCGGGAGTGATTCTCATCTGCTTTTAGGGGGCATTGCGGACTGGATTTCTCGAGGTCAGAAAGTGGCAACCCAAACCAGCAACCGAGCTGATTGGTAGATTTTACGCCCACTTTGCTTGTTGCCGTTGACCCCTCTGCAGAAAGTGGTTCACCCTTGCGAAACGGGACAAACCACTGTTTTACAAACACTGAAAGTCCAACGATCTGTTACCAAATAGCCTAGGTCTTCCAATAGAGAGGTTCGAATAAGGGTACCCTTTTTTGGTGCATTCTATTTTTGTAGGGGAACCCTCCCCCAAAAAAAGGGTAAAAGGGCACGACTGCCACAAAGACTTTAAAGAGGACGGCAACCAACCCAAAAGCGCTTCGCGCCGTTGCCGAGCTGCACGGGCATTCCGATCCTGCTCGCGCTCCTGAAGTTGCTCCGGGCGGGTTGTTTGGTGCACTCCGGCAGATTTGGAGCCTAAACCAACATACATTTGGCTGTGGGTCAAAACCAATGGGATCCCATTTTGGGGTAGGTGCACCACCCATTTTAGTCTCTTTTAGTGGGCTTTGGGATGTTCACTGGGGGTACGATTTGGCTTTTGACCCACGGCCGTTTGTTTTTACAGGCAAGGCAGCTCCGTCCTTTTCACAAACTCTTGGGGCTCGTTCATTTGGGGAGTGCCAAGGACCATATTTCCGCTTGAAATTTGTTGACTGCTTGGGAATGTGCCCGCCGTTGACGGACCTGCCACTCTTGTATGGGGGGGTCTTTCTTTCAGGGTATTGTGGGCTTGCCTAAAAGGGAGACCAGAGAAACCACCAATTTTGGGGGTTCCGATTCCTATTTCCAGACAACTCCGTAGTATTGAGTTGTTCCCGAACAGAACCGGAAATATGATGTGACCCTCGGACCATTTGAACGTCTGTCAACTTATTTTGGTACCAATTCCCTGGGAGCTGAGCAAAGGAAGCACCAGAAAGCTTCAATTTCCACTAGAGTGCACCCAAAATGGCCTCGATTTTCCTTGGGTTTCCCTTTGTTAAGCCCACCAAAAAGGGTACCGTGAAAACAAAGACACACGCAGCTACGGTCTTAAAGGAAGTAAGGGGCCAAAAACCTGTCAGGATGGTAAGGGGCTGAACAATCACTAACAACTTCCGTCCTTCGGTCATGGCTTTATTTGGCCTTTGGCCGCACCAACATGACCTTATTTCTGGTGCTGCCATGGATCAAACCCAGGGTAGTGGACCTTCAGCGTAAACACGTTGAATGTAAACAACTTTTCCTTTTATCACACCTTCGATGCAAACATCAGGGCAGTGGGGTAACCGCCTTTTCAATGCCAAAGCCTTCAAACATATCCCTCCCAAACGAGGAACGACAACTCTCCGTTCATGTAGGCCTTACCATCCCCATGACTGGGCGGAAACCCGCCATTTGCGATCTTCATGCCCTGGAATAAAATAAGCTTAGTACCAGGAGTGAAATCGATTCCCTTCGGAACCGACGAGGAAATAGCAACAACATATTCTTGAGTATATGAAAGAAACCTCCGATTTTCCAGATCACGCTATGCTTTCCCATGATGGCCTTGCCGAACCGTTGGGGGACGAAGAGCCGCTCTGAACCGCCCGATTTTTCGCCCAAGCAGCTCTGACCAAGCCTTGGTCCAGGCCTTGGTGAGTCTCCAAAAAGGGACAGGTCACTGGGGGAAACAGGTTCTCAAATAGTAGGGGAACCCTCCCAACCCAAAAGGGGGGGTACCTCAGTTGTTCAGTGACCCTGGAAAAAAGGGAACCCGTTTTAGGAAGATCATTTTTAGTGGGGCAGCCACAAAAAAAAGTTGGAAAAAGAATTGGCGCCACTGAACAACTGAGGTACCACTGGGCAACTGGGGGTTCACAGCCCTTGGTCCTCCTGCAGCTTGTAGCTCTTCTCGTCGATGGCCATGATGCTCGCCAAGGCCATCCGAGCCTCGACGCCAGGGTGAAAACCCTGCTGCAAATGCCCACGGCGAAGAGGATATCAGCGTTTTTTTTCTTTTTTCAGGGACCCCTCAAAATGGATTTCGGTTTTCCTGGTGGTTGCCCTTTAAAGGCAACCCAACAAAAACAGGGCCCCGCAAAAAAAAGACACACCGCAAGGTTTGAAAGCCCGGGTTTCCCATGGCAAATACTCCCCTTTTACGTTCGGGGTTGACATCATGCCCTGACACCATGATGGGTATCAGGAGCGGGGTTTTCCCTTAGATCCAACCTCAATGCAAAGTGACCAACATCACCTTAGCCTTTGCTCCCCAGCCAAAAATGTTGGTAATTCTGGCCCATATGTAGCAAGCTTCGACTGAAAAAGACACGTTGAAAAAATATGATGTTTGCAGCTACCATTTCAGGAGAAAACACTGATACGTAGCGCCCAACACCCAGCGACTTTCTACCAACATGGGTGTGAATCTTAAGGGGAGAGCAGTGGACATCAGGAGATTCATGTCGGACCATTTGAGGTGGTTCACGAACATTGATTTCCATGGCGTTTTCTTTGGGTTTTACCACAGGGGTTCGGGGCCCAAACAATGGTGAGCTTCCCTCTGGGCTCGCTTTAAAGCCATCCCAAAAAGGGCAACGTCAAAGAAAACACAGCCGGTTGTGCAAGGCCTCATGGCCAAGTCTTGCGCTAACCCGAAGCTCTCCTGGTGCATTTCTTTCAGATCAACTACAACACAGATCTCTGATTCAAAAATCAGCTACCCGAACTGCTGATGTGGGATTTGAAGAAACAAAAGGGGAAGCTACCCCGTAACGTCCAAACCACCAAGCCAAACACCAAACAAATGGAGGTAATCTGATAAAGGGGGCCCAAATTCAGAATGTAACAAACAACACGCACTGATCTATGCAAAGTGCAACATGCAAAGTGTTGATGTTCTGAGTGGATTGGCAGATTGGCCAAAAAACGGCGGCCTCCCGCTTTTCGTTTGCCATTCAACTGGTCCAAGTCCAAAGCCCCTGGGCACCGAGTTTCCCGTCCCCGCAGTTCAATCCTTAGCCCAGCCCAGTGGAACCGCAAGGATTGTTGCACGTGCCCATGAGCTTTCCTCAAAGAGTTCGCCACTTGGCGCCTGAAGCTCTTTTATGCGTTTTATGCCCGAAGGGGTGAATCCAAGTCGTGGGGCTTCCGATCGTTTCAGCCCAGCATCATATTTATGTTTGCCAGTCCCATATTTGGTGAACCTTTAAAATGGCAAATAACCTCAAAAGAGAGAGGGATCTCGTGTTTGTTTGTTTGTTTGTTTGTTTGTTTGTTTGTTTGTTTGTGTGTTTGTTTGTTTGTTTGTTTGTTCGTTTGATTGATTGATTGATTGATTGATTGATTGATTGATTGATTGATTGATTGATTGATTGATTGATTGATTGATTGATTGATTGATTGATTGATTGTTTGTTGTTTTGTTTGTTTGCTTGTTTGCTTTGTTTGTGTGTTTGTGTGTTTGTTTGTTTGTTTATTTGTTTGTTTGTTTGTTTGTTTGTTTGTTTGTTTGTTTGTTTGTTTGTTTGTTTGTTTGTTTGCGTGTTTGTGTGTTTGTTTGTTTGTTTGGTTTGTTTGTTTGTTTGTGTTTTTGTTTGTTCGTTTCTTTGCTTTGTTTCTTTGTTTCTTTGTTTCTTTGTTTCTTTGTTTCTTTGTTTCTTTGTTTGTTTCTTTGTTTCTTTGTTTGTTTGTTTGTTTGTATTGAGGGAACATCATGTCTTTCCACGTGTCCGTCGCAAACTCCACGCTGGCCTCGTCCGGCGTAAAGTAATGAAACGCCATGGGTACGACAACTGCCTTTGTCTGAGAGTGGCTGCGGCGCGCGGAGAAAGATTTGAAAGCATGGGAACAAATGCCAATCAAACGAGCCCGAGAAAAAAACAAAAACTAAAAAGTGTCCCGATCTTGGGTTCAAAATTGGGTGGGCCCCCTGCACTTTGGAGCAGGGTTACTAACCCCAGGTCAGTTGACGTGAGGCTAGGTGGGCCCCCTGGTTTACCTGGGAAATTTGCGTTGGTCCCCCATGTCGTCCCCAAACTGACAATAGACTAGCCGTTGCGTCAGTTGCTCACATAAGTGGGGTGTCCTCACATCCCCCGCCAAAAGTTTAACTTTTAGTGGGTCAAATGGAAATCCCCACTAAACACCAAACCAACAAGTCCAGCCTTGTTGTTTGCCACTGCAATGCTCCAAACCCAAAAGTGACTAAAGTCCGAAAAGGAACTCAGAAAGTACGTTTCGGATGAAAAGGTTTAACCTTGGCACACAGATCAATTCAACCACCCCTAAGGTTGCTTTCTGAGACAAGGGGGTTGGTAAACATCGCCATGGCTGCGGCTCAAAATTCACCCACAGCCACACTTGGGAGAGACTCGGGGAAACTGGGCCTCTGAGGTGTATTGAAAACTGTGATTTGCAGATTCTTGCCCACATTTACTCAACCTTGAATTACTACAAACTAACATGGAACCCAAAGGGGGGGGTCCCCGAAGAAGTTTCCTCTACAAATGCATTTTTTTTGGGGGGGTTCCACGTTAACCTCAGTAAATTAATTCTGAGACCCCAAAACAAGGAACGACAGGATCCCACGTTCGTCAGTCCCGGGTTCTTTGTCTGAGAAGGATCTCAAAATTGAGAAGCCCGCTCCGAGTTGATTGGTCAGAGAGAAAACAACATCTCTGAAAGAATCTGAAAAGCTCGCTTCTGATCGAGAAGTAGTCACAACAAATCGCAAACACCTTTCAGGCGCTTTCTTCACTTCCCAAACTGTTCTTGGGCTGTCCGTTCTCAGATCCCCTTCTAAAAGTCGAAAGCTTGTGGATAAAATGGACACCCAACCACTAAACAAACTAAAAACCAAAAACCTGGAATGCCTGCAAACACCTAAAAAATCTTAAGAACCTAAACAAACATGAACAAACCTAAACCACCTAAAACATAACCACTACACCAACGAAAAGCAACCAAACTCCTTGATGGACCCGAACGATTCGCAAACCGCCAAGCCCGTCCTGGGTGGCTCTAATTCGTTCGACCCAACTTGGCAAGTTGGGAGTAAGGAAGCCGTCACCAAGTTTTCTGCAGAAATTCAAAGGAAACCCTAGAGAATTCACGGGAAGGCCTGACTTGATCATCTTTCGTGTGCTTAGACAGACCTGCCAAAAACCATCGGCTTGCTCCTTCAAAGCCCAAGTTGGGCGTTCCTCGGCGCAAACTCGGGCCATCGATCTCCGCCGTCCGCCGTCCGGCCCCGGCCCAGCAGCCCAGCCCGGGCCTCGCCAGCGCACGGCGCGCGTGGGGCGAGAGCTGCTGCCAAGTGGAAGGGTCGATGAGGACCCTCGCCGCCTCAAAAGTCCAACAGCGAAAGCGAAAGCGAGGACCCAGCCACGACTTCTCCCACGGTGTGGGTGTTAGCACAGTGTGTGTGTGTGTGTGGGTGCGTGCGTGCGTGCGTGCGTGCGTGCGTGCGTGCGTGCGTGCGTGCGTGCGTGCGTGCGTGGGTGCGTGGGTGCGTGGGTGCGTGGGTGCGTGGGTGCGTGGGTGGGTGGGTGTGTGTGTGTGTGTGTGTGTGTGTGTGTGTGTGTGTGTGTGTGTGTGTGTGTGTGTGTGTGTGTGTGTGTGGTGTGTGTGTGTGTGTGTGTGTGTGTGTGTGTGTGTGTGTGTGTGTGTGCGTGTGCGCGCGTGCGTGTGTTTGTTTGCTTGTTTTTTTTTTTTTTTTTTTTTTCTTGTTTGTTTGTGTGTGTGCGTGGTTGCATGCTGGTAAACGGCTGAGAGTTGTGTTTCTTCTTTCGGCTGGATAGAACAAGGACGCAAAGGGGCACGAGAAGAAACAACTGACTGCAAATATGGTAGGGTAGGGAGGCTGTTGGTTTCTAATCTTTTGGAGGCTACCCGCCGTAACCTGGCTCTTGAAGGTAAACCAAAAGGAACACCGTAGAATCTGTTTGGGCCCCCATTTTGGCACATACCCGTGGGAAAACAACGGCGCGCGATTAGCTCAAAAGGTTTCTGCCCCCCTTCGAAAAGGTTCAAACACCAAAGGCACAATGGACCATCTCAGCATTTGCTCCAACCACAAACCGGTCGAAAAATGCACGTGCAGCCCACTGGGTGTCTGGGGAGAGCTGTTTTCCTTTGAGTCCGTGTCAGCAATCCCCCAAACGCCCAAAGCTGGTGACCCCAATGAAGAGAATTCCCCGAAAGCTCCAGATCAGAAGCGTGTTTTTGGTTCATCATTTTAGTAAAGGCCAAAGATGTAAGTCTGTCCCAAACGCTCAACACACCTCATTCCAACAGCTGATTCAGTTCTCCCTTTGGTGAATAACGAGGAAATCTCACCATCTAAAGAAAACATCCCTTGCTCCTTTTCTCACGCCTATGCTAGTGGACAAGAGGAAGGCCATAGCTGCTGGCACAAACACAAATCAAACCGGTTACCGCGGAAACAAAGGGGCCTGTCTCTCTCACGAATTCTGTGAAACAACCCTAGATGATCAGCTCATTTAAGTGGTTGATAACCTTACTGGGGTGATCACCCTCCTAGACACTATGATGGACCCCAACTTTCCTTTCAAAGGGCCTTTCTGGTGACTTCCATTTGAAGGGCAAACACTTCCTGCTTGCAGCCTGCAAGTGCTCCTTCCCAGCGCGCAACAGGCAAAGGGCCGCCCCTCAGCTGAAGGACTCTCGATGTGTCGAAACTCCGACTGAGTTAGGGTCATCCAACAGGGGGCATCCAACCGCTTATCATACATGGAGTCTCCATGACCCCTAGAAAAAGGGGTCATAACCCCTTAATCTTGGGTAATGAACCCATTTGTTAAGGGTCATGGAGACTCCAGGTACTCACCTACCGGAAGAAAACAAACTTAAAAGGCATCAAGGGCAAAGATCTGGGCAAAGGGTTACTCAACAAAAAATCCAGAAATGCGGGTTCGGCACCTTCGTCAGTGAGCTCGTTTCACCCAAGGCTGGGTGAAAGAACACGGTCAGGACTTGTTTTTGGGCCCGTCGTGGTTACTCGTAAAATCATGAGGGCCCACCTGGGTTCTGAATTACTTTCTATTCACCGGCAGCCCAGGGACATGCATAACTCGGAGCTCGCCTTTGCGGATGCGAAACGGTACCCTCTAGACTTTCGGGATGTGTATATAGGACCTCCAACGGAATTCCACGCACCCCCTTCTTTGGTGGTTGATGAAAAACGCTTCGCCTGTTGGTTTCCCACTCGCCAGTTTTAGCACGGCGCCACCAAAATGAGCAACGTGGCCATCCCTAAGGAGCTCCATCAAACCTCCGCGCCATGGGGTCGTGCGTTCCTGACTTTCCAACCCAACCGGTATGGGCGGTAGCAACAAAAACTGCGCATCCTTTTTCGCAGCCTACTAAAATGAACAGACCCCAAAAACCTTGATCCAAGAACCCTGAAGCTCAGACTTAGAAGGAACCCTTATAGTCGAAATTCACAGAGCGCATGACCATCCCTCTTCCCCATTGGTCCCTCGGGTCTTTTGGCCAGGGCGCAAATGGGTGGTGTCTTGTTTGGTGGTTTTCCTCTTAGTTTTCCTTCAAACACTGACCAAAACAGGAGTAGCAACTCCCCGTAGAAGCACGGGGAGTGTGCCAGCCTCCAGACTCGGCTTTCGCTGCTTCCGTGCAAATCGCCCCCCCTCTTACTTGGATGTTCGGCCAAGAAAGGAAGTGGTTACCCCACTTATAGGTGAGTTTTAGCCTAGGTTACCAACTACTTTTTACCTTGGCGAAACGAACACACAAGTAGAACCTCCTATCACAACCTAAGAAAGCCTTGTTTCGGATTCTATTCCCCTGTAGATAGGTTTTATTTCGTTTGTTTGAAGAGAAGCCCCGCAAAGTTTGGTTGGGTTCTTGCTACGGAGAGGTCCATCCTTTGTGGATATGTGTCAATCTAGGAGGGCCCACCCCAAATTGGTGTTCAACTTTTAACCTTGCTTTGGCAACTTGGTCTATGGCAATGTCCTGTCAAGTTGACCACCCCAGTGTATTTTATGGGGGTGCTAGCCCCTGCAAAAGCTGTCTGTATCCCACATTTCTCCCAGCCAAAAGCACCCCCCAAAGTAATAAACAGAGGTCGATTAATCCGGGGCAGGGCTGTGGAAAATGACCACTTCCGTGACACAACAGAAAGGGCTTCCCAAACACTAGCTCCCCATAAAAAGGGGAAGATCACAGAAGTGGTTGGATAAACTACTCCTGCAACTCAGGGAGTGAACACGAATGCCAACAAAAACTGTTTTATGTTCATCCAGACACACTTTCCAGTTTATGAACAGCCGGATTGGACCAAATCCCTGGAAGAAGTCAACCATTTCGGACCATCCCCCCCCCCTCACACCGCTGGGCGTTGCCGGCGGTAGCGGTCCCCCAGACTGCAGCTCTGCAAGGTATCGCAGCGATCCAGGGACCGCGCCACTGCCCTCGGACGTGCGGCGTGCGGCGTGCGGCGTGCGGCGTGCGGCGTGCGGCGTGCGGCGTGCGACGGGTGGGGTGGGGTGGGTGGAGTGGGGTGGGTGGTTTCTGGGCTTGGTGAAAAAGGAAACCGAAGGCACACCCAGCTTTTGGTTTTGTCGGGGTTGAACATTTTGAGACCACCCCTTTTTTGATATTTGGACACCTCTTACACGAGCCAAAGTCTCACAAAGCTAGTATTTGGCATTGAGGGTATGATAAACCCTTCCAAAACAAGGGATAACAAGGGGCACGAGCCGACTTCAAAGGGCAAGTGTATGAACCCCTAGTATGCA